CCCCAAAACCCCAAAACCCCAAAACCCCTCAATTTATAGATCGGGTAAAATTTGAGAATAATTAATTTGATTTAGGTATTCTAATATTTAACTGATTGTGAGTATAATAAAGATCTAAATTACGATGAGGAATAATGATGATATGTCATTAGTATATCATAAGGCTTATCAATTCCAAAGAGTGAGAAATCCTCCTCTATCAATACTTGCCAATCTATTAGTCTTGTGGCACCAATCCACATCCACTATAGATGTATTACCAGGACTATTTAAACTACTTATTGAAATACTTAGCTCTGAAGCCCCATGAAGCTTGTCATTTTTAAGCGTCTTAAGAAAGTTTCCATTAGTAAGATCAAAAGCCACTAGTCTCCCAGATGCCGATGGGACTATGACTTGATTGCCTGTTGGGGACAATACAAGCTTGCTACCCTTGTAGCTGCACGTATAATTCATATTGTCACTTATTGTCTGCACTACCTCAAATGTTCGGGAGTCTAAGATCTTTAAAGAATTATCCTTGGAGCTTGTCAAAATTTGATTACCATCTGGCAAAAATATTGCGGAAACTATTGCCTCGTCATGCAAATCTGATATCTCTTTTGCTGGTGTTTTTTGCTAAGTGTGCCATATTCTTAAGCCACCATCCTAATGACCTGAAAGAATTACTCTGTCAGAATAACTAATATCAATTGAATTGCATTAGGATGATGATACAAACTAAAGTTAAGGTAAATTTTAAAACAAATCATACCTTTTCAGAACTCTGGCCCTTATATATATCCCATATTTTAATCTATCTATCAGCACTCCCTGTCACTGCTTTCTAGGTGAAATTACTAAAGCAGCATTAGTTAATTATATCAGTGTGGCCATTCAAAAATGTCAATACTCTCAATGGATTTGACTTCAAAATTTTTGCCTAATAATCATTAGAGCAAACCATCAAGTAATCAGAATTATTCGAATAGGTTAAGCAATTGACTGACTTTGAGAATCTTGAAAAAGAAGATTAAAGCCCTAGTGAGTTAGTATCCCATAACTTAAGGGCTTAGTCTCCTCCTGTGGCTATACCTTCTCCATTTTTATTGAAAGCTACACATATACCATCTGTATTATGAGCTTGAATACACTAAACAGGTTTAGAAGGTATAATATCATGATATGCACCATAGAGCCCACTTTTGCCCTTTGTCATTATAGAGGTTCTAGAATGGAAAAGATTTGGCTATAAAATCTATGTAGAATTATGACTATGCACTATCATTGATTGCTCAACCATACTATCTTCTTCCTTTATTTCATCCATTTAGTTTAATAGCCCAACTCCACTCCATGAAGGCTGATTCCCAACATAGGCCATTGTTTTAAGCTGTCTTTTCAAATAGCTTTGAGTATTATCTGCTGACTAATCTTATGTAGAGATGTCTGAAGTATGTGTAGGTCTCTTTGAAGGCTTAGTCTTAGAGTCTGCGTTATATTATTTGAATGAATTGACATTGGCTAGATTTTTCTAAGAACTAACCTTATTCATAGTAAGTTTTACTGATCTATCCTCCTTTATATTCTACTGAAAATCGTTTTAAGATTTTGGGACAAAGTTAAATGAGGCTACTGTGAAATCTCTAGCATGATCAAAGAAATCATAATCGTCAATTAGGTTTGATGATTTAGGAGGTAGCTTTTTCTTTGCATATTCGATCTCCTAGTCTATTAGTTTACTCTCAACTGAATTCTTAAAATTTTCCATGTTCTTCAGGTCTTGATCCTTTTATTCTACTAAAGCTTTGAAGTATTCTATTTTTTAAAGCATTAATTCTTTTTCCTCTTTGGTTTCTTAAACCTCTTCCTGAAGTGCTGCTAATCGATCGGCCTTCAATCTTATTCTCTCTTCCAACTACTTGACCTGATTGTGATCTTTTAAGTACAATGAGGTTAATTCTTGATTCTGCTTCATTAGTTCTCTATTTTCTTTATACAGGTTATCAATCTAGGTTTTCATCTCTTTGTACTTGGATGACGAACTATAAAATATAAATTATTAAAACTTATGATTCAATTTTATGGTATTTTACCTGAACTAAACATTTTACTACACTTCAAGATGAGCTAAGTCAACATTTTTAGACCTCAGCTCTTTTATCTCTGATTTCTACTCATTAATTTCTATGAATAATGGTATGTAGACCTTGCGTTCAATTTGATCTCTGCATTGAAGTTATCTAAGATAATGGTTATTGTGGAATTGATATATATTTTCCATTTTAAAGATTACTATTATTGAGCTAATTAATTAACTAAAAATTTTAAAATTTGCCTTCATTTCTAAATGATTTATTCATGGGGTTTTGGGGTTTTGGGG